TTCACCTACACATAGATCTACCACATGAACCCAAAACCAAATTCCTCTCACCTCTACCGGGAACGTCCTGCCAGGGATAGTGATCACCGGGCAGCGGTTGAAGTAGTTGGAGAACTTATCACAGTCGACCGTGGCACTCATTAGTACCAGCCGTAGGTCCGACCGCCTCATAACCATGTCCTTCAGGATGGGCAGCAGGAAATGCACACTGCGCTCATGGACCTGACAAGTGAAGTGAGTCTTAATAAGTGTGACTGTAGTTCTGGGACAACATTACTGCCACCTTAAAAACTTGCGTGCGTCCAAAACAGTGTTTTCCAAACTTTGTTTCTGGGAACCCATATTTCAAAAAATCCCAAACCTTCACGACACAAGTCAATAGACATTATTCGTAAAATCCTGGGAAACATGATGTGGGACGGCCCCCCAAAAAATTATTGCGACCCACCGGAGGGTCGCGACCCAGTCTTTGGGCAACAATGGTCTAAACAATGGTCTAAAAAAACCCAAATATCTTTGCTCAGTTTAAAAAGTGTACCCTATAAAAACGGTTTGATTTTCTTACATACTATTATTTTATTTTTTACCTGACTTTAATGGGATAATCAAATTGACACTACAGCGCTGTTTATGGTCAGAGCTCATCATCAGTACCTCGTCCACAATAATGTGAGTCAGTGATTTCAGGTGTCTGTCCTGCTGCAGTTTCCTCAGCAGAACTCCTGTGGTACAGTAGAGCAGGCGAGTCCATTCTCCGGACAGATTCTCCATCCGGATTTGGTATCCACACAGCGATGACTGCAACAGGAAAATAATCATTACAGCAGTTATTCATATACACAGTCAGACAGCAGTGATAAATAAAAACATATCCTCACCTTTGACCCCGGTCCATCCTCACAGCCCAGCTCCTGTGTGACCCTGGAGGCCAGGCTCATGGCAGATATCCTGCGCGGCTGTGTCACTACGATGTTACACGGTTGTGCTGCTTTGCCTCCAGTCAATAGCTGCTTCAACAGGAACTGGGGAATCTGTGTACTCTTTCCACTGCCAGTCTCACCTGCCACTACCACCACAGGGTAGCGCTGCAGAGCCTCCAGGACACGATGTCGATGTTGGAAGACAGGAAGCTGCTCTCGATCTGCCTTGAAGGGACGGGGATGCATTTAATTCCTAGTTTGATTAGAAGTGAACTGTCAACTGTTGAGTTATTAAACTGTATTTACCTGCAGTTTCTGAGCCAGCGGAGACTTCCTGAGATTCAGTAAGAGCTCCCTGGATGCCTGCAGAGCTCTGTCCTCTTCTCTCCTCCTTCCTTCTTTTCTGTCACTGTTGTTCTCCAGTTCTCCTTCCTCCTTGATGTCAAGACCAGCCAGGTTCTCCCAGGACTCTTCAGGCTCCTCATCTCCATCACAGGCCGCCCCAGGCAGGTCTGGAGAGTCCGAGTCCTGCCCTTGGTGCTGGTTCTGCTGCTGCTTGAGTCTGGTGAGGAGCCGAGAGATGAACTGATCTCGAGGTTTGTTAGCAGCAGTGCGACTCTCCTCCTGTTGTTGCTGCTCGCTGTCTCTCCACTCCAGCCACACATCTCTGTAGGTTGGAGGAAGGAGTTGGTGCACAGACTGGTGATTGGAGGAGAGGAGAAGAAGAGATTAACTGTAAGAACAAAATTAATAAACACTCTAATAAAACATGATGACATCACGTACCTGCCCTTTAACCATGTTGTAAAGTGCCAGTGTGGCTCCAAGGTGCTGCGCCTGCATGCTGTCCTCTGTCAGGATCTTGGGACAAACCTCAAGAACATCATCTGTCCTCTGTACACGCACCCTGATTTAAAGCACATTATTACAGTTGTTATCTGTAATACCTAGTCTTACATAACACATACATCAGTACCACAGCCACCATCAGCCGAGGAAAATTAGAAGAAAAAAACACATGCACAGTGGTAGTTCCCCCTGCAGTCTAGGCGTTCTTCACCACATCCAGAAACACTTACTTGCATCTCCAGTATCTTCCAGCAGCAACTTTATTAAAAGATGGTGGTGGACTCTTTGGCAAGTTCTTGCGGACCCAGTCAATGAGGAACTGTTTTGGAGACTTTCCAGTCCAGCTGCGGGCGGTGTAGTCAAAGTTACGGATGTCCTTTGGTTCGTTCTTCTTTACAACTGTGCAGTGAGGGAACACAGATTTATATATATATATATAATGTGAAATTTAAAACAAAGAGATCGAGATTGTGCTACCTAAATGCATTAATGGATCATGACATATATTTTTTTATTTTATTGTCCTGTGAATGTGCTTTACTCAAAATCTGAAGAACCTTTTTCGGCAGGTGCCTCTTTTGCAGCTTGCTCAAACAGACTAAAGCCGACTTCCGCTTTATCTTCACTGACAGGAACTTTTTTCTTTTCCTTGTGCGGAGCATCAACCACTTTGATTGATGGATTAAACACGGGATGGGCCTCCAGCTGCTTCATTTCTAAAAATACAATATTATACAATTTATAGTCTGTATAACCCCTAAATATTAACAACAACGTCAAGGTTTTTTTTTTTTAACCAAATAGGTGAAGAACAAACCTTGTTGTATGACACGTATCCTGTCCTGTGCCGTCCTCTGGCCTAGTTTGTCATTTTTGCTCTTGGCAGCTGCTGCCATTTCTTTGGTGTCATACAGTTGAGCAGTCAGGATCAGATACCGGTCATTCTACACATCAAAACATTAAAATTAAAAACTCCATCTGTTACATCGATAACAACATTTAGTCTATCTGACTAGCCGCAACTTAAAAAATTAGAATTACAGGGTCAAACTTTTCCTCTAATTCGGGATTGTGCAGAGTCTTTTTTCCATCTTCCTCCTCCTCCTCTTCACTACTGCTCTGTTCGGCGTATCTCAAGATCCAGTCCTTCATACTTTGAGCTTCGTTCTTCTCTGTGGCCTTACAGACATAACACATTCTTACAAGCATTGTTTTTATATTAACTTACACACATTGTGATGAGTGTTCAAACCTGGCTGGGCTCTCTGCTGCTGCTGCTGCTGTTGTTATTATTCTGTGGTGTGGGACTGGGAGCAGCAGGTTTCTGCTGAGCAGCAGGGGCCTGGAATCTGGGCCTCCTCTTCTGGCTTTCCTCCTGCATCTGCTGGCAAAAACCTTCTGGGAGCTCCTCTGGTGAAACAGACATGAGAATACGTAAATGATCCTGAATCAGGGCCGTACTATATCAGTGGCTAATCCTGCTCTGTTACCGTCTTTAAGGTTGAGGCAGAGCCAGTCCAGGGCAGAGTGGAGATCACCTCCATAGAGCACACTGCTTTTCATTGCCTCTTCTATGTGCTCTCTCTTGAAATTAAATTTCTGGAGAGCTGTGTACAAGTCCTAAATGGACATTTGAATAATATTAAAATAAAAATAATTTGAATTTCAATATAATATGTTTTAAGTCAGAAAATAACATTGACTGAGCTTTGACTTTACCAAAAGTTTCTTGTTTGTTAGCCTGCGTGATACAGGCCCTTTGTCCCCTCTCTCTTGTCTGAAATCATTGACCATCTTGATGACCTTCTTCTCCAGATCAGCTTGGATAGAAACCTGCACAACGAGATAAAAACCCATTGTTTTAAAACATTTCTGTTTCAGGTTTTTAAAAGTACGCTTCTGAGAAAAAATTATGAACTGATTATGTCCATAATTCAGGCATTTTTGTTTAGAGACTCACTTTTAGAATGGACTTGTCCGATGCTCCACCTGTGTCCACCTGGGCTGTGTTTGCAAGACTGTAGGTCTTAGGTGCTGCAGTAAAAACAGAACAGAAACATACAAGTTAACTTCAGTGTAATTTCTTTCTATTTCCTATGTGTAATACATCACACTATGTCACAGTTTTGCTAATGAGAACTGCTGTACATCTACTACACAACAAGTTTCTGTCCTAGTGAAAGGGATACTGATTTCCGTGTCCAAGCATCGTGCTTTATAAACGAGTGAGCTGAAAACACATATTGTTTGAGACTATTGTATACAGTTTTAATGGAGAAGTGTCATTAGGTTTAGACATAATTAAAATACTGTATAAAACCTGTCTGCGTGAAGGATGTTGTCACTGGAAATCTTTGATATTTATATGACAGCCAAAAAGAACATAAAGAGAACCAAGCCAACCACCATCTAAGCTCCTCGGGGAACCTACCTTTGGATTTGTTCTCTTTGACAGCCGGCTTATTGTTGCCTGGTTGTTTCTTGGGCTCTTCTGCCACGATGCTCGCCGCTGTAGCTGCACCATTTCTGTTCTGTCCAGTCGCTGCTGCCGCCGGAGCGACCGGAGCTGCCGATTTTTTCTTCTTTCCCCCCATTGCTTCACAAAAAACATGTATTTGTAGCACCCGGGTCTTTCAAAGTACTGTCAAGACATTAAAATACGAAAAAGGTAATGTCAACATTCATAGAATCAAACTGAGGCCAGCTATGTTGCTTCTCATCTCAGCTTGGACTGAACCTCCGCGGCTGCCATACAATACGTTGCATTCAAAATATGTGGAAAATATTACAATCCAAATGACTTTCAACTCGTGGTCTGTAAAAATATTACACATTATGAGTTATAAACAACAAACAGTTTATAATGTATTTTAAATGTTTTACACATTATAATTATTGTGGGTTTATCTATTATATTAACAATTACATTGTATTTTATTCAGTTGTGGTGCTTCGAAATTTCAATTTGACGACCTGACATGAATGCAGCACTACATCGTGTTGAATTGTGGGATACAGTGTCGCTAGCAAACATGGCGGACGCGTTTGGAGACGGCTTGTTCAGCGTGTTTGATGATGAACAACAAAATGCTACGAGCAAAAAAATACTACCGACAGTGGCTCCAGAAACAGGGTATGGTCACTGAGCATTGTTGCCATTTCGGACACTTTGGAGACGAACAATAGACACACAACTTAAGCCTAAACCTAACCTCATGTGCGCTCATTACTTTGCGACACACATTGCGTTTGACTGTAACTCAGTGTTGCTAACATATAAAGACATATTAGCCATTATTATTATGATCATTATCGACGCATATTAGGTTTTAATTCCATTTTATATTCGACAGGAATGATTGGATATTCAGTATAGCTGATATATTAAAACTCAATAATACACCGTCAACAATACATGATGCTAAATCGTACACATTGTCCGGCTAGACGTTAATACTATTAAATCATGTAGTGAAATGGACAAAAAAGAACTCTGTTGTCGGATGAATATATTTTCGTAACGATTGATTGTTTACGCTACTACTACGTCGTGGCGTTAATAACAAATGAACACGAAGAACAGATGAAGACCATTTGTAAAATAACTCATTAATTATAGACATTTCTTTATAGTTTAGCACATTTTTGTAGCTATGTAACTTTTAGCCTTAACAGCACTGTTATGAATCAAATTGATCCATCAACTTTTTTTGTAAATTTTACACAGCATATGATATATAATTAAAACTTTGTATAATTGTTTGTTTGTTTATTTTCCAGACCTGTAAATAAGAATAGCTCAGACAAAGATGCTGGACCTTCTCCTCGGCTCAAGAGGGAGGCAGACAGTGATGGCGGGGAGGAGATGGTGTTTACTAAGAAGTCTCGAAATGATGCTGGCTCTGCAAATGAGTTAAAGTAAGACGGTTATTGAGCCTCATGGCTCAGAGTTTTGCAAAATTCTACAAAACTGTATTGCATTACATAATAGAGCATAATACTGTTGGCCTTTATGTGTGTTTTATGTGGTATCTTGAAGTTGGGTTTTTGTAACAACTTTTTTATTGTTTTGTTTAGTCTTTCAGAATTTATGCCCCAGGTTAAAGTGGAGCAAGTTGAAACTGTGGAAGGATGTTCCCATGAGGTATTAGAACAAATCAGCAAAGATATTTGACTTTGACTTTGATATTTGCCTTCTATGCAGTTGTGAAAATTTAATTTGTGAAATATCTTGTGTTCCGTCTACAGGTGGCTCTACCTGCCAGTGATGAATACAAACCTTTGAAACCTCGAGTGGGGAAAGCAGCAAAGGTAAATAGATATTTCTGATAAATTTACAGGGTTTTTTTCTATAATGTCCGAATACTAATAACATAGTGATTATTGTTTTTTTTTTTGCAGGAATACCCCTTTGTGCTTGACCCGTTCCAGCGTGAAGCCATCTTATGTATCGATAACAATGAGTCTGTGCTTGTGTCTGCACACACCTCTGCTGGCAAGACTGTCTGTGCTGAGTGAGTATTGTAGTTGATTCATTTTAATCTACTGGAATTACTAACTGTGATATTAGTGCATCTTGTTATTTAAATTCCCCTGTACACTAATATTACTCTAATTAAAGATGGAGATAT